GGCTGAGGCCTTCAGCAGGCCTTGAGGTGGCTCAGTATCCTGGAAAGGCCCCTCTCCCCAGCCTTGATGCTTTCCCGGCCAGACACAGACCACCTGGCCAGGTTTCAGTTTCGGGGCATGATCTCAGTACCACAGACACTCCAATCTGTACACCTGGGCTAGGCTTACAATGACTCAGAGGCATAGAGGGTTATTTTGGGTGTATCATCAAATGATAGAAACATAGGAGACTTGAGAAGAAAGACAGAAACAAGAGAGGCCAAGCATGTTTAATTACTCCCACCTGCACTGGTCTCCAACTCCCTATACTACCATGAAATTTGGTGGCCTTTCTGGCCTGTGGGGTCCACATATGGCCCAAAGTGGCTTCAGTTCTGGGGCTAGTCCTTTCTACACTATGCCAGCCTGGACCTCATAATCAGGACATGGGCTGAGTGATGAGAATAGGGGTCGAGTGATGAAGATGGGGGCTAAGAGACCAGAACAAAGGGCAAGTGATAAGGATAAGGATGAGTTATCAGGACAAGGGCTTGATGATGAGGACAGGAGCCCACTGATAATCATTAGGGCCCTGTGATCAGAACAGGGGCCAGGTGATCAGGACAGGGGCTGAGGTATCATCTCAAGGGTCCACTGATCACTATAAGGAATGAGTGACCAGGATAGGGAATCTGTGATCAGGACAGAAGCTGAGTGACCAAGAAAAGGATGCAGTGATCAGGACAGATGCTCAGTGATCAGGACAGTGGCTAAGTGATGAAGACAGGGGTTGAGTAATCAGAACTAGGGCTATATAGTCAGGTCAGGGGCCGAGGGTTCAAGACAGGGGCCAGTGATCAGCAGAGGTATTCAGTTATCAGAGCAGGCACCCAGTACTCAGGACAATTTCTCCGTGATTAAAATGTTGTTGTTGTTAGGTGTCACTGAGTTGGTTTCAACTCATAGTGACACTATGTACAAGAGAACAAAACACCGCCTTGTCCTTATGAATCAGAAAATGAGTCCCGTGATAAAGACAAAGGAGAGTGACGAGGAGAGGGGCCTGGGGATCACTGCAAGGACCCAGTGACCAGTGTCATGAGTGATCTGGGCAGATACACAGTGATGAGGACATGGGCCCGATGACCCAGACACAGGCTATGTGATCTGACAGGGGTGGAGTGATGATGATGGGGTCGAGTGAACAGGATAAGGCTGTGTGATCGAGATAGGGGTTGAATGATCAGAAAAGGGACACAGTGACAAGGACAGGGACTGCGTGACCAGAACAAGGACCTGTGTGATCAGGACAGGGTCAGAGATTAGGACAATGACCAATTGATCAGGACAAGGGCTAAGTGACCAGGACAGGAGCCTCAAGTCACAGGAATATTTCTTTGGACACTGACCTGTGGGGAATGCCATCCCTGGCCCTGGTTCTGGCTGGTCATGCCCTTGGCCTTAGCAGGTCTTCTAAAGGGACTTGACATCCTTTTCTGCATTCCCCAATCAACCCCCCACATGCATCACCAAGAATGAATCCCAGTCAGGGAAGGATCAGCCAGTAAGCAATCAAAGCACAGTCTTACTTATGCTTACTACTCTGTGGTGAACAGTATCACATCTGTGGTAAAGTTAATGTGAAACTGCTCACTAGAGATTAGTACGTAAGCCTGTGCTTTCCTTGTTTATTGGGTAATACGAGCTGATCCCAGACTTCTCCCACCTGTCCCTTCCCTGTTCCTTGCAAGCAACTGTCTGAGTTTGCCTGTTGGAACTTTTATTTATTGCATGGGGCTGGCATAGGGGTAGTGGGGACTTCAGAGCAGGGCTGATTTCTGGCATCCGGAGCAGGCTTCTCCAGGCTTCCATGGTGCTTCCACCTGTGGACACAGAGATAGCTGCTAGTGCCTGGGCAGGGGCAGCCTTGAGGGGGAGTGGGGTCCTGACAGTGGCCACTCCTCCTCCCCCAGGTAGACCTTTGGGGAGGCAGAAGGAATCTCTGCATTTCTGCACGGGGAAGCTCATGCCCTGCCTCTCGCAGGGTGACACGAATGCTGACCTCAACATCTGCCTGTGTCCTCTGTGTCTGTGACAGGACCACCTCTAGCCAAAGCATGTTCTGCTGTGATGGGCAACAGTGCTATCCCCCTGGGCTGGGCTGCCTCACCCCCAAGTCCCCTGCCCTGTCTTCCTGGGCCCAAGACACACCTAGGCCTGCAGCTCTGGTCAGTACTGGGGGCTCTCCTTGCTGCCCGGGGGCGCCCAGATGCTGGTCACAGTCAGTACTGTGCTGTAGACGAGGCTGAGCAAGAAGAGCGTGAGCAGGGTGACAGTGGTGGGCCATAGGCTGTCCCCTGATGCCTCCTCTTCCAGGGTGTCCTGTGGCAGATCCAGCACCAGCCACGGGTGTGGCTCCCACCAACCTAAAAGACAGGCAGGGCCTGTCAGGCCCAAAATTGTGTGGGCAGGGGCCCCCTTTCTCAGAGACCTGAGACTCACCTCAGGGGGGCAAAGGGACCGGAGGTCCCCAGGAAAGGGCTGGGACCCTGAAGACACTGAGAGGTGTGCTGGACCCCTGTGTCTATGAGGTGTCTTAGGGCCTTGGCAAGACAGACTTGGGTAAGGTGTGGGGGGGTGGGCACAATTGGTGCTATGCCAGGGGGAACTCACCCAGGCCCTGCTGCAGGCTGGCCTTGGGCTTGGGGGCCATGGAAGACCTCGACAAAAGCAACCCTCAAGGAGCTCAAGGTCGAGACATAGATCCAACTCTACAGCTTAGTGTGCCAAGGGCTGATTGGGGCATGCCTAGGGGCCCCCATTGCCTTCCCAGGGTATGTGGGTGAGGGGACAGTAGGAGTGTTGAGGAAGATCAGATAAAGGCAGTTAGCACAGGCATCCCTGGCTGTCTTCAAGGTCTCAGCACACAGACCACCCATGTCAAATGGAGCTTGAATCTGCTTGTCATATTCTGATACTTCCAATCATTCACCTGTCCACCCACTACTCATCCAATCCATCCATCCATCCATTCACTCACTGACCCATCCACATTCATCCATCCAGCCTTCCATTCACCATCCATTTTCTGTTCATTCTCCATCCATTTTCTACCCATTCATCCACTCATCCACCCAACCATCAATCTATCCATCCATCCATCCATCCATCTATAAAACCACACATATAGCCAACCTTCTATCCATACATTCATCCACCCACCCATCTGTTCTCCCATCCATATATCCATTATACACTCTGTGATCCATCATCTTATGTACTTGTTGCCCATCTGCTGACTCGCCCCACATTATTGACTCTTCTTCCCTCCTGCTGCATTTGGAAACCCCCTCTGTAGGTCTAGTTCCTTGCTGGGTCCCCAGGGACATATGCAGTACCTTCTCTGGGGGAGTGCCCTCCCACTAGACCTGCCACTCTTTCTATTGCCCTTTAGGTGACTGTATCATTGAGGGGGAGAAGTGGCCAGGGTGGTTAGGGGACCTCACCCTACCTTGGCCTTGGGAGCAGAGGGAGTCAGTCACATGGCCAGGTCACCCTGGAGAGGCCAGGAAGGTTCTGAGACAAGAGCAGGAACCCCACTGCCCCCTTGTGGGAGTGATGGTGCCAGGTGTCTCTGTTGCAATCTGGGCAGCGCTCTCTGTACTCTATCTCTCCAGGTGCCCCCTTTCTGCAGGGAGCTCCAGGCAGAAGATGAAGGCCTGCTGAGGGCTTTGGATGGGAGTTTTCTCTGGTCTGATTCTGATCCCCTTCCCACGCTTTACCCTATCCTGTCTATTGTGTGGGCCATACTTTACCTTTCAGAAGAGAAGGGTTAGAACATTTGATCCTGAAGCTCAGGTAGGTGTGGGGGCTGCCTGGGAGGAGGCCTTTGAGCTGTGTGGCACTGGGAACACAGGGAAGGACAGGATAGGGTCCAAGGAAGATCCTGGACAGCAGGGTTGGGCCTCAAACTCTAAGCTCTGGGGACAATTCTAGGGGAAAACCCCCTTTGTGTTTCTGGAGCTGAGGTCTATGCTGTGAACTTGCTATACCTGCAGTGACTCTGATGTATGTGTGTGTGCATGCATACATGTGCATGTTTGTGCATATGTGTGCACATGAGTAAAGGTATCCATATATATTTATGCATGCATGCACATGAGTGCATGTGAACATGAGCACACATATAGATACATCCATGCACAGGTAGATGTATATGCATACATGAACATGTGTGCACATATGTAGATGCATGTGTATATGTGTAACCAAGTGTAACTGTGTGCATGTGAACATGTGTACACATGTGTAGGTTTATGTGTGTGAGTAGGTGCATGTGTGTGTATGTACATGTATATGTCTACCCATCAAGCAGTGTCATATAGAGAGATGGGGAAAGCTAGGCTTGGATGTGGGGGACTCTCATTCTGCACAAGTCAGTGAGCAGACCTGGCTTCTGGGTGCTACTTGGTTTGAGCCTGCACTCCCTGAGACAGCTGGGCTGCCTGGCTTGCTTTCTTTCTGGGGCACTCCTGAATTCCGGCCATGCTTGTCCCCTCAGCTATCTTCCCATGGCTCTCCCCTCTTTCTTGAGAGCCTTGTCCCTGGGTCACCTCTCTAAGCCCGAGCCACAGGGAACTTTATAAGATACACCTGACCACACACCTTTCCACTCAAAACCTTCCTATGGTACCCACTATCCTCAAGGCCAACTCCCATCCTGGCCTATATCTGATGACCTCTGATCTCACTCCATGCACAGACACACATACATGGCCACACATGCACACTCACATACATGCACACGTGCACACAGATGTACACACACTGATTGTCACATACACATATTCTCAAGGGTGGAAGATATGGCGAGATGGTGGCTGAGCAGAGAACTGAGGTCTGACAGGGCCAGGGCAGAGGACATGTCACTGACACCTGGGGTGACAGACAAGTGGCTGGATGGAATAGCAGGGCTGCTTCTGGTGGAGCACAGAGTTTATTTGAATGGTAGGGGTGGGGGCTCAGTAGCAGATGCCATCTACCTCGGCCATGACCACAGACACATTGACGTGGGTGGGTTTACCGGCCAATTTGTTGATGGTCTTCTGGGTGAAGGCCAGGGGCAAGGCCTCGTGACCCACCATGCAGGAAAAGTTATCTCCCTGCTTCCAGGCCTCTGCCGTCACACGAAGAATACTGGTCACAGCGAAGGTAGGGATGCCCTGGCTGGGCTCCTTTTCTGAGGCCCAGGTCAGGTAGTCACTCTGGGGCAGCTCCTGGGTCTCACGCAGCCAGCGCACCAGCACATCTTGGGGACTGAAGCCACGCACCACACATGTCAGTGTCACCAGTTCATTCAGGGCAAGCTCCTCTGATGGTGGCGGTAGCAGGTGGACCAGGGGTGGGAATGTGTTCACTGTGGGCAAGAGAACAAGTTACTGGCTGGGTGGGGTGGTACCCAAGATGCAGGCTCACCTTCTCTCTAAACTGAGGAGTGATTCCCCAAGCCAGAGGAGCTGGGAGTGGGGATGGGTTTGGAATGTGCTCTGCTAACCAGGGCTACAGCCCACCTGGGTCTCTGGAGATGTGAACGGTTGGCAGGCTTTTGGCCTCAGGGTGGGTGGCAGTGCACGAGAAGGTCTCCCTATTTTTCCAGGGCTCTGCACAGCCAGGAAGAATGCTGGACACACTGTAGCAGCCGCAGGAGTCACGTTCGGGTGAACCTTGTACAGCATCCTTCCCAACGGAGGGCTGCCAGCTGAAGGTGGCACCACTTGGGTTACTCAGGCCACTTAGGGTGCATGTGAGGCTGGCATCTGAGCCAAGCAGCAGGTCCTCTAGGGCCGGTGGGTGCAGTGTGAGCCGTGGATGGCAGGAACAACAGCAGGATGGTCCTGGAGCTTAAAGAGGCCAGATTGGATCAGTCTCCACCCCCCTCACACACACACACACACACACTGCCCTTCCCTCTCCTTTCTCTCCAGCTCTTATCCTTGGGGTCCTCCTGACCTCTGTGCCCACCCATCTGCTGCCTCTCCTCCTAGGTGTGAGGAGTGTGGCTCCCAGCATTCCAGGCCCAACCTGGCCCTGCCTTCTGACCTTTGCAGGGCACGTTGACCACCTTCCCTGGGCTAGAGTCCTGCTGCACATGACACTGGAGGGACGAGGTGTCTTGGCACTGGGCGGCTGGCAAGGTGATCTGGCTGCTCATGGTGTACAGGCTGCTGTCACTGGCCTTGATTGCAGGGAAATTCCTGATAGTCACACCCTCTCCACTCTGGTTCCAGGTCAAATTCAAGGGCTCCGCTGGGAAGAAGCCTTGGACCAGGCAAGCGATGACAACATTCCCATCTGGGGCAGCACTCTGGAGGCTCAGTGGGAAGAGGCTGGGGCTGGTCTTTGGCACTGGAGCATAGAGGACAGATTGTCAGAAGGAGGAGACATGGTCTTAGGGCCTGGCCCTTGGGCTTGTGCACAGGAAGGAAGGAGAGCTCCCATTCACCCAGCACATGCCACCAGCCATCTTGCTTTTTCTGTTCCTGTGCTAACCAAGCTTAGCCCAGCCCAGAACAGCTTAGCTCAGTCCAAGGCAGCCCAAAACACCAAACAGAGAGGCTAAGTGGCTCTCCCAAAGTCACACAGCTAGTATGCCACGGGCCAAAAATTTGAACTTGACTCTCTGTTACAGCTGCACTATTTCTTAACATAGTCTTCAGGTAGGACATGATCCATGGACAGAACCCTCAGGTATGGCCCAGACATGATCCACGGGCAGAAGCTTTGGAAACGGGCTGGATAAAATCCATGGACAAAGCCCTCAGACAGGACGCAAACATGATCTGTGGACAGTACAGGATCCATAGACAGAGCCCTTGGACAGGATCTGGGCATGATCCATGGAGAGGTATCTGATACAGGCTGCTCTTGGGCCATTAGTCCTAGTTGATAAACATACCTCTTCCACTTACTGTCCAAGTCACCAGGTGCCCTGACACTCAGCTCTCACCATGGAATGGGTACCTCATGCTCTCTGGCACCTGGGGCTGAGGAGGATCATCCGTGAGGTGAGGGCACAGTCCAGGGCAGAGAGGTCTGTGTCTGAAGCTCAGCCAGCATGGGGCTGGCATGAGCCAGAGAGCAGATGGAGCCTCTACATGTTTCCTCCTCCCACTTTGCCTGTCAGGCTGTGAGGCCAACCTTCTCAACGTCTAGTCCCACCCATGGACCTCAAACAAGCAGCATTCAGTCCATCCTGACATAGTCAACATCAACTTTCATTTAGAGCAAAGGGAGAAGAGGAGTGAGAGAGTCACACTTGTCTCAGAGATTGCAAGACCCTCAGGTTGTCCACAGAGCACAGAATGTAGGGGCCCAGATGTTGGGAATAGTCATTCTCCAACCATTGCCTTCTTTCCACCTGAACCTCCAGCCCAGCTCAGCACAATCAGCCCAGCCCAGTTAAGCCAAGTCCAGCCCACCCCAGCTCAGCCCAACTCAGAACAACCAGTCCAGCCAAGCTTAGCTCATGCAAACTCAGAGTAGCCCAGTCCCGCTCACCACAGCCCAGCCCAGCTCAGCCCATCCTAACCCAGCAGGGCCCAACCCAGCTTGTCCTTACCCAACTCATCCCAGCCCAACTCATCCTAAGCCTGATCAGCCCCAAATAGCCCACCTCATCCCAGTTAGCTCAGTCCAGAACAGCCCTGTCAGCCTGCTAAGCCCAGCCCACCCCAGCTTGTCCAACGCACCCTATCCCAGCAAGCCCAACTTGCCCTGTTTTTGTTGTTGTTATGTGCCGTCTAGTCGGCCCCGACTCATAGCGACCCCTCCTTGGGTTTCCGAGGCAGTATCACTACGGAAGTATGATTGCCTAACCTTCCTTCTGAGGAGTGGCTGGTAGGTTTGAACCACCAGCCTTCTGGTTAGCAGTCAAGTGCTTTAGCCACTATGCTACCAGAGCTCCTCAACTTGCCCTAGGCAGTCCAATTCACACTAGTCTAGCCCACCTCATCTCAGCAAAGTCCAGATCAACTCAGTCCAGAAAAGGCCAGGCCAGCTCAGATTTTCCTGGTCACCCCAGCTCATTCCAGTCAATGCAAACCTCCCTTCCCAGCTCAGCTGAGCCCAGCCCAGCCTAGCCCAGTCCAGCCCAGTTCATCTTAGCCTAGCTAACCAGCTCCACTCAGCCCAGCACAACCAAGCAGAATGTAGCCCAGCCCAGCTGGTTTTGCTCAGATGAGCCCAGCCCAGCCTAGCTCAACCCAGCCCAGCCCAGCCCAGCCCAGCCCAGCCCAGCCCAGCCCAGCCCAGCTCAATTCAGCTCAGCTTAGCCTAGGTAGCCCAGCTCAGACCAACCAAGTTCAGCCCAGTTCCAACCTGCATAGCCCAGGCCAGCCCAGCCCTGCTATCCCAGCCTGATCCAGACTAGCTAGTTCAGCTCAACCCACCTCTGGTCAGCCCAGCTAGCCAGTTCGACTCAGCCCATCCCAGCCGAGCAGGTCCTAGCCCAGCTGAACTAGTTCAACTCAGCCCAGCCCAGCCCAGCCCAGCCCACCTCATAGCTCACCTCAGCTCAACTTGGCCTAGCCAGCCCAGCTCAACCCAGACCATCTCATCCCAGCAGATCCTAGCCCAACCCAGCTAGTTCACCTCAACCCAATCCAGCTCAGCACAGCTCAGCCCAGTTCAGCTGAGATCAGCTTAGCTAACCCAGCTCAGTCCAGCCAAGTTCAGTCCAGCCTCAACTTACACAGCCCAGGCCAGCCCAGCCTAACTATCCCAGCTCAACCGATCCCAGTTCATTGCAGCAGATCCTAGTGCAGCCAGCTAATTCAGATCAGCCCAGCCCAATTGGCCAGCTCAACTCATCCCATTTCAACCCAGCAGGGCCTAGCTCAGCCCAGTTAGTTCAGTTCAGCCCAGCCCAGCTCAGCCTAACTAGTCAGTTCCACCTAGCCCTGTTCAACCCGGCAGGTCCTAGCCCAGCCCAGTTAGTTCAGTTCAGCCCAGCCCAGCTCAGCCTAACTAGTCAGTTCCACCTAGCCCTGTTCAACCCGGCAGGTCCTAGCCCAGCCCAGTTAGTTCAGTTCAGCCCACCCCAGCCCAGCCCAGCTCAATTCAGCTCAGCTTAGCCTAGGTAGCCCTGCTCAGACCAACAAATTTCAGCTCAGCCCCAACCTACACAGCCCAGCCTAACTAGTTCAGCTCAAGCCACCCCTGGTCAGCTCAGCTCAGGCCAGTCCAGCTGAACTCAACCTAGCTGTCATAATTCAGCCCAGCCCCAACCAATACAGCCTGAACCAGCCCAGCCAAGCTCTCCCAGCTCAACCCAACCTAGTTCAGTCCAGTCCAGCTCAGCCTAGCAGATCCTAGTCCAGCCCAGCTAGCTCAGCTCAACCCAAGCCAGCACAGTCCACCTCAGCCCAGACCAGCTGAGCTCCGCTTAGCTAGCCCAGCTCAGTCCAGCCAGGTTCAGCCCAGCCCCAACCTACACAGCTCAGGCCAACCCAGCCTAGCTAGCCCAGCTTCACCCAGCCCAGTTCATCCCAGTAGATCCCAGTGCAGTTCAGCTAATTCAGATCAGCCCAGCCCAGTCCAGCTCAGTCTAGTCAAGCTTAACCCAGCCCAGCTCAGCCCAGCCCAACCCAGCTCAGTCCAGTCCAATTCAGCTCAGCCCAGCTAGCCAGCTCAACCCAACCTGGTTCTATCCAGCAGATCCTAGCCCAACCCAGCTAATTCAGTCTAGTCCAGCTCAGCTCAGCCTAGCTAGCCCAGCTAACTCAATGCAGCCCAGTTTAGCCCAGCAGATCCTAGCCCAGCTCGGCAGGTTCACTTTAGGTCATCCCATCCCATCCCAGTCTAGCTCAGCTCAGGTCAAACTAGCCCAGCTCACCTGGCCCAACCTTGATCAACTCATCAGATCAACCCAGCCCAGCCTAGCCCAGCTTAGCCCAGCCCAGCCCATTCAAGCAGAATCCAACTCAGCTCTTACCTGGTGAGCCCTGCTCAGCCCAGGTCACCCCAGCCCAGCTCAGCTCAGAACAATCCAGCTTAATTCATCTCAGTCAAGACCATTCCATTTATCCCTGCTCAGCCCAGCCAGGCCCAATTCGTAATCTCCTCTCACACCCACCTGCCCTGTGGTCCTCCTGGGTTTCTGTGGCATCTCCTGCCCCCTTTCCCATTGATGTGGGTGTCTAGTCTGGGTGTTCTCCACCTTGCCCCAGGAAGGCTCAGGACTGGCCTGCCTGAGTTTGCACAGGTTCTTCATTACTCAGATGTAGAGATGGAGATGTGACAGCTTTGGGATCCACCTGCTCAAAATCGCTGGAGGGTCCACCCTTTGCTTAGAGGGATACTGGCATCCCTCTGGCCAGGCATCCCCCACACTGTGGATGCATTCTTATGGCTCTCTGCCTGTCTACCCCAGAGGTGGCTGGAGTGGAATGGTAGGTCCATTGACCCTAGTCAATCTCAGCTTTTCTAGGCCCTGCTCTGAAGACCATGTCCCCTCAGCAAATCTCTTCCTGTCCTATGCTGGTCTCCCCAGGATGGGGAGAGCTTGGGCCTCTGTCTGTTGAGAGCAGCAGGCTGGGGAGGGGATGTGTGGCTGTGTGTCTGGTTTAGTGGGGTCACTTGCCCACTTCCTGTTCCAGTAGATGTGGCCGCGCCTCCACGTCATGTCTGGTCTGTGGTCTGGCTGTGGCAGGGCCAGGTGTGAGGCCCAGGCTGTGTGACCCCACAGAAGCTTTTCCTGGCCTGAGGCTATGTGAGTTGGAGGGCAGGGACATGGTGGATTGTGGTCCAAGTCACTGACCACAAGATGGAGCTAAGGGTAGAAGCCAGAAAGAAGAGAAATACAGAGGATTAGAGACTCAGGGATACAGAAAGAGAGATTGGCCCAAAGATGGAGATAAGGAAATGGAGCCAGGGCCAGGACCCCAGGAGGGTCAGCAGAGGCAGGGCATACAGAAGGACAGGGCTTGTCTGGCTTTTGTGGACAGGACCCCTATGAGGCAGAGACACCGAGGGACGGGACTTCCAGCATGGAGCCTCCAGGAAGACCTTCAGTGAGACCTTCAGGGTGAGGAGACTGAGCTCTGGCATCATGGGGCTGGAATCACATCCACCATGCCGATGAGGTGTGATTACTCTTCCTCCACCAACCCCACAAGCATCTGTCAAGGAGGAGTCTATATCCCAGTGCACATGGGGGCTGCACCTTTCTCAGAAGTCTAGAAGTACAGTTGGTAAGGCCAGGATTCAAGGCATGGCATTTTCCCACATACAGCCTGCCATCCTCCACAATTTTCTGCCTGAAGCTTTCTGCTGTGTGGTCCTCACCCTGTAGCAACGGAAAATTCTGCTTAGGCCATGGCCTGTTCCTTTGTATGCTCCTGTTCATCCATGTGGCCTATCCCTGACCTCCTCTGGAGGCCATCCTTTTTGTCTAGATCTTCTTTGTACCAACATTCATCCCTCCACCTGTCTTCCTTCCTTCCATTCATCTAGCCATTCATCAATCATTCCTCCATTCATTGATCATCCATCCATAAAAGCATCTATCCATCCATCCATCCATCCATCCATTCACCCACCCACCATTCATCCATACACAGCTGAGCCCTGAAGCCACACACAGGACCCAGAGAGTTTAAGTTTTAGGAAAGGCACCACTGGGAGAGAGAGGCAGTGAGCAGGCAGGTGAGAGAGAGAATCCTGTCTCCCACAGAGAGGTCAATCCTTTCCAGGAAGGGACGCTTGGGTGAGGTCCAGGTCCTTCCAACAATAGTGGTGGTGGTCTAGTGCAAGCCTTTTGGTGCAATGTGAGGAGGGTGTATTGAGAGTCCACTGGCCAGGAGGCTCCTAGGCAGGCTGAACATGCTGAGCTCATTTTCAGGCTCATTCCTGTCACCATCTTCATGTCCTCAGGCCAGGCCTGCACCTGCCGAGATGCCACAGGAGGCTCTCCCTTAGGGCCACTTGTACCTGTAGTGTATGCTAAGGGTCTGGGCGTTTGTAGGCTGAGGATGTGGCCACTTACACTAAGAAATAGCCCTAACAGCTCACTGGTCTCAGATGGGATGAGAAGCCCCTTACCCCGGGGCTCCTCCTTATTGTGATTTTTCCAACTATTGAAACATTTTCTTCCCGGTGCTGACCACTTAGTCCCTTTCTCTGAACCCCACTGTCCTGAGAACTATTTTTGCATAAAGGATTCCTTGCCATGAGGTGAAAATAAAGCCTATTGTACCATTTTTATACCAGGAATGCAGACACTTTTCCCAAAGCACACTCAGGTGGCCAGAGGAAGGAGGGTTGTGCAAGGGAAATTTATTAAGAAACTCAAGTGGAAGGAAACAGAATTGCCAAGATCTGAATAAATTGCATGGCCCCACGGGTACCCCACTGGAAACTTTAGGATGTCTCTCTGCACCTCTGTACCCGGGGTCCTTCCACAGTCCCAGTCACTTGACTTCTTTCCAGAAGTGTTTCTTTACCTTCTCCATCCACAGGGATATTGGGTCAAGAGAGGACAGCAGGAAGGGTGGGTAGAAGGAAAAGGGGGCGAGGTGAGGAGTCCCAAGGGGGCAGTTGACATGGACCTGGGAGGCACAGAGGCTTGATTGATTCTGAGGAGCAGGGCCATAGAGGTGGACTTAGCTGGACCCTGGGCTCTGGGTTTGGTTCTGGACTCTGGATTCTGGCCTGGACTCAGAATCTGACCTCTGAGTCTTCGGTTGGGCTCCAGACTCTGGACTCTGGGTCCTGGGTTGGGTTGTACATCCTGGGTTAGGCTCTGGACTCTGGACTCTGGATCCTGCATTGGGCTGTCGGCTCTAGGTGATTTGCTGGGCTCTGAGCCCTCATGTGCTCAGGCAGAAATTCAGTCAGACCAGTAGAGTGACTGGGTGGAACCCAATTCGATCAACAATTCTGCCCCTGCCCTCCAGCCCAGGTCCATCTGTGGAAGGGACAGGCACCATTCTGGGGCCGGTTTCAAAGTGAAGAAGGTGAGAGCTGTCATTGTTGGGTCCCTTTGGATGGCTTGCGTCCAAGGACAGTCCCTTTGGCAGTTTGCCTGCTCCTCTCTCCACCTCCTACCTTGAGCTGAGGGGACAGTTTTTGGGTGGTTGATGTCTGGCTTCTGACACGAGGGGAGAGAGTGAGGTCCACTGTCCTCCGCCAGTGCTCCCTTTGGTCAGCACCAGCTCGGTCTCGCAGTCTAAGGGATGGGCTACATAATGTTGCTGTAGTAGTGGGAGTCCTGGAGCTTCTCTTGCCACACGGTTGAGATGAGCCATTGTACCTGTGAGGGAGCAGAAGTGAGGGCAGCCCTTCAGACCAGTTCCTCCCTTCCTTCCCTTCCCAAGCCCAGTCACCAATTCTCCAACCTTGAAGAGTGTGATTGTGGCACTGTAGCTCACGCTGATCAGGAAGAGAGCAATGAAGACATAGGTGCTGGTCCACAGCTCATCCAGCTCCCTGCTCTCAGCATCCTCCATGCACAGGTTCTGAAGGTCCAGCTCTGAGGAGATGGGTCAGTTAGCCCCAACATTTACCCAGCAGTGGGGGAGGGAAGACCTGTGTTACCCGCAGAAGGTGAAGAGAATTGAGGTCTAATGTCCTGATGGAGGATGTTGGAAACCCTCAGTGGTACCCAGAGTGGTGGGGCTCCTCATCCAGCTTCCTTTGGAAGCCCACTGATTGGCCATGGCCATGTGGAAGCATCCCCCATCTTCTGCCCTCTATTGAGTCAGCAGTCCACCACTACCTCACAGCCAGTGGTCTCTTCTGACCTCTCCTTTCTCTATCCCCCTCCAAAGTGGCTGGCATCTTCTCCCTTCCCTACTGCTAGTCATCAACACTCAGTCCTGACTTTGCTCCTCCCCTCGTTGAGAAGAGCCCTGTATGGCCCATGGCAGGAGGGTCCCAAAGTCAGTGGTCCCTCCATCCATACAGCCCATGGAGAGTCTCAGGATGAACGTTCCCTTTATCTGTACCTGTCATCCCTGTCCTATGCCACCTCAGCTGTGCTCTCACCAGTTCCATGTCCCTGTGAAGGCATACAACCAGCTGCTTGGTCTCAGGAGTAGGTCCAGGATCCAAGTCCACTCACAGGACATGGGGCAGGCTCAGGCCCCACAGATCATCAAATCCAGATCTCTGTGAGTGGGAGTGGCTGGACCTGTCCCTTCGGGATTGGAGGTACCTGTTGAGTGAGGCCAAGGCTGGGTGGGTGAGTGGACATTAAAGCTAGGCCTGGGCCATGGTGTGCACTGGCCCTGCTGTCCCTTACTCTTAAGGCTCAGTTTGGGGCCTGGACATTGTGCTCTGGCCTGGTCCTCCCAATGCTTTGGGCACAGGACTGCCCCCTGGATTGGTTCCCTCTTCTCCCCACCTTTGCCCTCACAACCCTCTTTCATTTCTAGGGACCAGGATTGAGATGGCCCCCAATGGGCTGTCTACCAAGGCCAGGTAATGCCCTTCCCTCTGCCTCTCCTGGCAAAGAGTTGGGGGTGGGGTCTCTGCCTTTCCTAGTAAAAGATGGGAGGTGAGGGTGGTCTCTCCTCTCCTGGCACAGGGCACAGGGATACCTCCTCTTTTGGCATAAGGCATGTGTGTGTGGAGGGGGTGTCTCTGCTATCCTGGCATAGAATGGGAGGCTTATCTCCTTGCCTGGCATATGGTGGGGAGTCTCTCCTCTCCTGGCATAAGATGGTGAGATATCTCCTCTCTTGGTAGAAGGTGGAGGGCCTCTGCTATTCTGGCACAGAATAGGGGTGCCTCTCCTTGCCTGGCATGGGGTGGGGGTGTCTCCACTTCTCCTGGCACTGGGTGGAGGAGGTCTCTCCTCTCCTGGCAGAGTGGGAGGTGTAGGGAGGATGAGAAGCCTGAGGGTCTCGTCTCTGAGGACTGAGGGTGTGCACGGGGCCCGGGAGTGCCTAGGCTCCCCTGAGGCGAGCAAGGCTGAGATCTAGAGTGTAAGCCTGGGCCTGCCTGCATCTGCAGTGGCTTCATTGTGAGCACTGTGGTGTGCAAGGTGCCTGTGTGTTCTGTGTGTATTTGGTGGGTGCCTGTGTGCTTGGGAATGTGTGTGTCTGTGTGTTGTGGGCACTGCTGTGCAAATGTCATGAATGAATTTGTGTCTGCTGTGTGGTGGGTTTCATGTGTGTGATGGATCTGAGCTATGTGTGAGTGTGATGGGTTTGGGGTGTGTATGAAGGGCTTGGTCTATGTATGTTTGTGTGATGGGTTTGCTGTGGGTGTGTATTATGAAGGGTCTGAGATGTGTGGCAGGTAAAGTATGTGTGCATATGTGTGTGTAGGATAAGTTTGTCATGTATGTGTGATAGACTTGGTGCGTGTGCTTTTGTAATGGATCTTGAGTATGTATGTGTGTGTGTGTGTGCGTGATGGGCTTGTGCATGTGTGTGATGGGTTTGGGGCTGTGTGTTATGGGATCCATGTTTGTGTTGTGTTAGGTGGGTTTGGTGCATATATATGTGCAAAGGACTGTGTGTGTGTGTAATGGGCTTAGTGTATTTATGTTTGTGTGGTGTGTGCATGTGTGTGATGGGTTTCAATGTGTGTGTATGATAGGTCTGGTGTGTGTGTGTGTGTGTGTGTCTATGTGATGGATTTTGGGTGTGAGTGTGTGGTGGTTGCAGTATATGGGTGTATGTGTATGTATGTGAAAGTTTTGTTTTGGGTATTTAGGTATGATAGGTCTAGGGTGTGTGTGTGTAATGGGTTTGGGATGTATGTGATGGGTTTTGGGTGTTAGTGTGTGGTGGGTCTAGTATGTGTGTATATGTGTGTGTTTGGTTTGATATGTACATATGTATGTGTGATTGGTCTGGAGTGTGTGTGTATATGTGTGTGTGAGATGGGTGTGGTGTATGTGTATGTGAAGAGTTTGGTGTGTGTGTGTGTGTATGAAGATTTGGGGCTGTGTATGTGTTATGGGGTCTCTGTGTGTGTGTGTGTGTGTGTGATGGAGTATATGGGGTGTCATGGGTTTGGAGTGTGTATGGGGGGATGTGTATGTCTATGTAATGGTTTTTTTTTGTGTGTGTGATGGATTTCAGGTGGGAATGTGTGGTAGGTCTAGTACATGTATATTATGTGTGTGTGATGGGTTTGGCATGTGTCTGTGTTTGTTTACTACATATATGTGTGTAATGGTTTTGCTGTGAGTGTGATGGTCAGGAGTGTGTTTTTATGGTGGGTCTGGTGTGTGTGTGTGTCAGAGGTGCACACGGGTTGGGTGGTGGGTGGTGGTGGGTGGTCTTGGCCCCTCAGCTCTGGACCCCAGGAACTAGCATGAAATTTGCAGCCTGCTCTGGATTGCTTGTCTCGATTCCATTCACATACCTATGGCCCAGACAAAGCTGGCTGTGTGTGTGTGTGTGAGTGTGTGTCTGAGAAGCAACAGAGAGGAGAGGTCTGGTAGTGGAAACTGTGTGAGGCCAGTGGAGTCCTGGTTGGCACAAGTCTTTTGCATGTCTGTCTCAGAGACATGGGGAGCTGGTAGCTGAGACTTGGTGTGGGGAAGGGTGGAGAGTGGCCTTTGTTAGTGTGAGTGAGACTGCTGCCTGGGCTGTATGCTATGGAAGGAAGTGTGCATGGCTCAGTGTGGATGTGGGGACACGGTGGGACATGTCTGTTTATGACTGCGGGTGACCCATGGTTGTGTGCTGGTGTGGGCTGGGGTGCATCCTCAGGACCAATTCGGGTTTGAGGAGGCCCCTGGTAGCAGGACAGACGACTGGGTGACCTGCCAGTGGGCAGAGCAGGGTTGGAGGGCATGTCTTGTGCTGAGACCACGTGGTAGGTTTGTTATGTGTGTGTCTGGGCTGTGTGTGTGAAGTATAGGCTTGTTGTATATATCCATGTGTGTCTTTCTGCATGTATATCTGTGTGTGTCTGTGAAGGGCTTGGCATATGTATGTGTTTGTTTGATGTGTGTGTATGTGTGGGGTCTGCAGCTGTGCATGGAGGTGGGGTCATGGGTAAGGGTCCCTATGTGTCTGTGTCTGTGAGGGGTCTAACTGGCTGTGTTTCCATACCCAGAAGGGGCTGTGTCCATTCAGACTGGGTGAGGCCCTGTGAGTGCAGATCTTGTGTGTGCCTGGCTGGAGCTGGGGGTGAGAACCTAGGGTCTCCAGGAGAAAGAGGGGTTCCAGGAACTGGACTGAAATCCTCTTGGGCTGCTCCCAAGCGGCCTACTTGCTCTGGCTCTTATGACCCTGTGATCATGCCAGGCCGAGTGGAGTGGGAGGGAACCTCTGGTGAATGTTTGACACACTGTCAGTCACCCAGGTGGACAGACGGTGTGTACACAGCTCCTCTTGTCCCTCCCCTGGGGACCCCTTCATCATGGGGCCCAGGGTCAAGGTCAGTTGCCCCCACAAAAATGGCCAAAGCATCGAGGCAGGCTCTGGGTGTTTATTGGGGTGGCTTCCCTGGGTCATTACACAGCAGATGGGGTGTCTGGCCAGCCTTCCATTTAAACCCCACCCCAGCAGACAGTGCCTAAGTGGGAAGGTAGGTCAGGAGGGTGTCAGTTACCGGAGCCTTTCAATGCCAATTTCTCAAGAGTCTTGGGCTCATCCAGTGCCTCATGGACCACCCGGCAGACAAAATTGTTCTGCTGCTCCCAGTCGGACTTGCTGACCTCCAGGAGGCTGATGATAAAGAAGGTATGGCTGCTGGTCAGATGGGGTCCAGTGGTGCAGACCTTGTTCTCTGACTCTATAAGCACCTGGTCACGCAGCCATTGCACAGAGATGTCACGGGGGAAGAAATTATGGACTAGGCAGGTCAAGGTGAGCCTGTCCTTGCCATCCTGATTCACTTCGGGTGGCGAGAACACGTAGACCTCAGGAGCCAAGCGCTTGCCTGTGGGAGGGCACACAGGGTCAATAGGCCTGTCCTGAATGCTCTGCCTCCTTCAGCCCACTTGGCCCTGCCCCACCCCATGTGTCCCTGTCTCACCCCGGACATTGGTGATAGACTGTTCAATGTCCCTTGGCAGATGTGGATGGGACACCACACAACGGTAAGTCTCGCCTTCAATCCAGTCTCTGCTCTCCACTGGCAGGGTTGACTTGATGGTGACTGTTGCGTTGACTTGATTCTTGACAATGAGTGGGTCAGCATGCACAGAGATCCTCCTGTCCCGGGACCAGGTCACCTTCACATCTTTCCCACTGGCCAGGTCCACCACCAGGCAGGTGAGCTTAGGTGTCTTCTTGACGTATAGCTCAAAGGGACTGGGTGGGATGAGGTAGACGCTCACTCCTCGGGGTTCAGAATCTGTGGGCAAGAGGGGTGGCATGGAGGAGTTTATGAGACCCTCTCCCCTCTTAGCTGGTGAACAGTCCCCCTTAGGGTGAGGGCTGTACCTAAGCACTTCCGGGCACTGGACTCATAGGACCTGCCGCGGATGGTGACATGGCAGGTGTAGGTCTTTTCAGACACCCACTGGCCCTGGGTGATGTTGACCTCACTGTAGGTGGAGGCCAACTCTCCCTCCTTCTTGGGTTGGCCTATGAATGGTTTGAGGTCCTGGGTCTTCTTTCCATTTACCAGCCAGGAAATTTCAATTTCCCCTGGGGTGTATCCATTGATGAGGCACATCAGCTGAATGGTAGACTGGGAGTCACCGCGGGGGTCACAAGCTGTGTGGAAGAGCTTCACAGTGGGCGAGATGACATTCGTGGAACAGTCTGGGGGTGAGAGGGCTGGATTGAGTGGAGGGTGGGCTTATGGTGGACCAGTGGGTGCAGAGACCACCGACAAGCTTTAACGAGGGGTGTTGTTAACCTCCCTGAGCTCTGTGTCCCTTTGTCCCAGTCCCCACAGCCCCCATGTCCAGCCTAGGACCCAGAAGGCACTGGGCAGCTATCAGCAACAGTGGCATTTAAGCCACCATTGCTCCCTGCCTCTACAAGGCAAGCCTTTTCTTCTCCAGCACTCTATGGGGAAAATCCCTTGGAGGCTGCTCAGCCTCAGCCTGTCACTTTCTGGAAGTCCTTCTTCTCTAACTGCAGTCCCTCTTGCTGTAGTTGTGGCTACCCCAGCCCTTGCTCACCGTTGACGGTCTTGATGATGTTGCTGTTGGATGGGTCATGGACCACGGTGCAGGTGAACTCCTTTTGGGCCAATTCACTTGGCGTGGTCACCTGGCTCACTGTGGTGTAGAGGCCAGAGGCCTCAAGGATGGTGGAAGGGAAGGTCACAACACTGCTGTTCTGGGAACCAGTGTCCCAGGTTATGGTCACCGGCTCTGGGAAGAATCCAAACACTAGGCAGCCCAGGGTCACGTCTGTTTTTTTGTCTTTGTCACTGCAGCATGAGGCCAAAGGGTAGACGAAGGGTCCCTGCGTGGTAGCTGTGAGATGAGGTGGAGAGTCAACACTGAATAAGACTATCACCCCCCAGGTTCCAGTATGACTGCTGCTTGTACCAGTGTGTTGGTCGAGGGGAGGGCTTGGGGCAGAAGTGGAGGTGGCTGTGACACGGTTTAGGGGTTGAATCATGTGTATCCTGCTCCAGCCTAGGGGGTCATTTTGGATCCTTTCCCCACTGTCTGATGCTGCCTCTTCCCCTACAAGCCCCAGGCCTAGGATTCCATTCAATGCCCTCCTGCATCTCCGTCAGAACGAAGTGCTTCTTCAGTATCTTAGGCCACTCAAGAAGAGGCATGTTCCTGGGACATACCCAGCCCCCCTTGTCCCCAAGTGACCAGAACTTCTTCCCCTTGAGGAGCAGAGGTGCTGACTCATTCCTCAAGACTGAGACTCAGAGCCTATAGATTCTTATTAGGGGCTGGATAACCCCCAGGAAGGAACTCTGGTGGCATAGTGCCTAAGGCATTTGACTGCTAGCCAGAAGGCTGGCAGTTCAAACCC